AAAATGAAAAGATAATGTGTACATTGGGAAAATATTTTCAATACATAAATCTGATAAAGGACTGGTATCCAGAATATATAAAGAACTATCACAGCTCAATAAGAAGACAACAGAAAAAAAAAAAAAAAAAAAGAAGACAACCAAGGAGATTTTTTAAATGGGCAAAGATTTGAACAAACACTTCACAAAAGAAATTACATGAGTAGCTGATAAGCACATGAAAGGTCAGCATCATTAGTCATCAGGAAAGAGCACATTAAAACCACAATGAGATACAAGTACACACCAATTAGAAAGGCTAAAGTTAAAAAGTTGACAATACCAAGTGTTGATGAAGATGTGGAGCTGCTAGTAGGAAAGTGAAATGATAAAACCACTTTCAAAAACTAAGAGGATTTTCTTTTTTGCCAGTGGACCCGCCCTGCCCCTTCACAGGAAACGGGGAAGGGGGGCCTGCTGGGTTTTTTTTTTTAAATGTTAAACATACACCTACCATTCAACCTTGTCATTCCACTTCTAGGTATTTACCCAAGAGAAATGAAAATAGGTGTCTACACAAAGACTTTACTGGAAAGTTCCCAGCAGCTTTATTTGTAATAGCCCCAAACCAGAAACAAACCAAATGCTCAACAACATTGGGCACTGAATAGCCATACCGTGGGGCATCAGTTAGTAATAAAAAGGAATAACTACTGACACACACAACACTATGGACGATTCTCAAAATCATTATGCTGAGTGAAATAAATCAGATACAGAAAAAGCACATACTGTGTAATTCCATTTATATAAAACTCTAAAAAATGCAAACTAATCTATAAGTGGCAGAAAGCAGATCATTCCTTGTCGGGGACAGGGGTGGGATGATGGAAATATTCTGAATCTTGGTTGTGATGGATTCAAGGGCACATGCATCTCTCAAAACTTTTTCATATACATAGACAATTGTACTTACTTAGCACTAAGTACATTCACGTTGTGCAACCATCACCATCCATCTCCAAAACTTTTTCATCTTCCCAAACTGAAACTCTGTCCCCATTAAACACTAACTCCTCTTCTCCTCTTCCCTCAGCCCTTGGCCCCTCCCCCTCCCATTTTACTTTCTGTCTCTATGAATTGACTACACTAGGTACCTTATACAAACAGAATCATACAGTATTTGTCCTTTGGTGACTGCTTTATTTCTTAGCAGATCTTTAAGGTTCATCCATGTTGTAGTATGTGTCAAAAATCCCTTCCTTTTTGGAGGGAGGGTATAGCTCAAGTGGTAGAGCGCATGGTTAGAGGTCCTGGGTTCAATCCCCAGTACCTCCTCCAAGAATAAGTAAGCCTAATTACCTCTCCCCACCAAAAAACAAAACAAAACAAAAATTCCTTCCTTTTTAAGGCTGAATGACATCCCACTGTATGTATAAACTATATTTGGTTGATCCATTCATCTGTCGATGGATGGTCAGGTCATCTTTAACTCTGAATACCAACTTCTGAAATACTGCTCTGGATTGTTTCAGTGGTCTGTTAACTGGCCGTCCTAGCCTACTTCTCTCATGAACCTTCTAACCTGCTGCCACTGTGGTTTTTCTAAAGCAACGATCCTGTCCCTTCACTGCTCAGAGATCTTTGTGTACAATTTCCAACTAAAATGGGATCATATGTTCAGTGCTGTTCTGCAGTTGATTTTCTTTCCATTCCACTTTTGAAATCTTCTGATTAGTTGACATTTCTTACTTATTTTAATCCAGTATATATTTCCTGGTCATTTCCTCCCATTGCTCCTAGTTCTGCCCTTCAGAACGACACCAGATAATACTTTGCTGTTCTACACGGTGGACAACCCTTCAAATATCTGAGCTAGTTACCAGGTCTTCCTTCTCCAGGCATTAGTCATCCCTCAGATAACACGGTGCTATTCTCTGCTTGGATCCACTGA